CCGCCCAGTAAACACAAAGCCAGGCAGAGGAGCTCCCATGCCAGAGGACAAAGAGAGCACATCCACTCAGTCACGGTCAGAGAAACAGGACCACACTGGAAAACAGGCCTCCATAAACCAACCTGTCCACCCTCCAATGACACTTCCACCTTCAACCAGCCACAGCCTCCACAAACAGGAACCCCAGCCCTCCTCCCAACACAAGCAGTGAGTCCTAGCAAGATCAGAGCTTCAGTCATCTGCATTTTTTCCCCACCAACCTTGAACTCACCTAATCACTCTCTCCTTTGTGCAGTCGCTCCTGGTTTCCTGGACGCAGGAACCCCCTCCCCAAGCTGATAACCTCTTTTCTTTCTCCTTGTTCAAAAATAAGAACAATAAACTTTAACACTTTGTGCCCACATGCAGAAACACTCACAGAGAGATTGTCAAAGTATTAGACCCATCATGACAGGTACTCACGCTAATAAAGTTAAAAAGTGTGCTCTGTCAAAGATCCTTATCCAGTTGTTTATTTCTTTTGTATTTTCACACTGATGCTTAATAAGTGCTTGCATGGGTTACTTTGCTAAATTACACTTTAAGCAAAACTGACGAGGACAAGACTTACTCTTTAAGTCACCCGTGCCACAAAACCGTCGGCTCTAATAATTTCACTAACTTTATACTACGGTAAATAACTGGTAAGGAACGTTAACCAGCTGGTCATGACGATACAGGTTTTCTGATATGAAAATGAACCAGACTTTTTAGTCTACAGTATGCATGACCAGCCAGGATGTCAGTTACTATGACAACCAGTTTCATCCTCTACCCCAAGTTTTATAATATGTTATCACTGTTATTAGGCTACAAAGTATGCATTCACTATAATAAAATGAAAAAATGCATTTCTACAAGTCTGCTAATATTAACAATATTAGCTTACAATAGCATAGTATTCACGCCAACTTGAAATGCTTTGTTGCTAAATTTACTGAATGGATTCTATACGGACCTTGTCCTGCTTCATTCATGTAATGTTGTCTTTTTGGACTTGTCTAGAAACTAAGAACTGCTCCAAATCATCCTCCATGGTTGTAGCTGACACACGGGTGTATTTTCCTCTGATAGCGGTGCACTTTGCGCCTCCACCGTCGTGTGTCTGTTTTATCCAGATCGCTGACATAGGAACGCAGAGCTTGTTGCTTGTAAAATGCTAACACCGTTTTTAGAACAGCACCATTCTTTCTCCATTTATCTTCACTCTCTATACCTCGGACTTCACCTCATTCTTCAGAAGTTCTCAGATGACTCGGCCATTGTGGGCTGTGTTGGAGGGAAACGAGCTGAAGTACCGGACGGTCATCATGAAGTTTGTGGACAGGTTTTAGAAGACCACCTGTGTTTAAACACCAGTAAGACCAAGAAGATGTTGATCGACTTCGGGAGAAGACCTTTGTGAACATCCAGGGGCAGGACATAGAAACTGGAGAGAGCTTCAAATAGGCCTACTTGGTGTTCATATCAATAAACGACTAGACTAATAACACTGACGCTGGAGTTGCATAAAATGATTCTGGAACGGTGAATCTGGGCCAATTTACGAGAAGTGAGCCCGGTTGGAAAGCAGCAACCTTCTGTAACTCAAAGCAACTTCTCCTGATCTGAGTGAGATTACAACTTCTTTCAAAATCTGTTGTCCTGTCTCATGGTTATTTAATACATATACATTATGAAGCGTTATTTAAAGAGTTTGTACCAAGTGATCTCTTTTCAGGAAAAAGAACTGGAGAGAGAAATCTTCAAGGTGTGAAAAACAGAGCTTCCATTTAACACATCAATTATAGTAGGCTAAATGGCAACAGTTTATTGCAATTGTAAATACACTTAAAGTAGATGTATTTTCACAAGGTTTCATCTAACACTATTTGTTGCTTTCACCCCCCCAAAATGTAAGTATATATATCATGCAAAAAAGAAGAATGCTGATCTCTGCTACAGGAAACTCCCATCTTTGCTGTTTGTGACCATGTCTCTCCACAGATGTCTCATTTAAAGTTCTAAACTGAACAATATGAACTTCAGATTAGAGGGAATATAAATATTGTTACCTTGTTCATTCTCTCATAAGATTTGATTTAAACAATTTGACTGTTAAAGGATAACTTCAATTAAAACCTTCAGAAGGGAAATGCTGTTCATTGATGTAGGCAGGAGACCCCCTGTAGCTGTCTGGCCTCTCTGTCCCAGCAGAAGCCTCTGACTGAAGACACTGCCGTTCAGCTGTCCTCTGAAGAAGGTGTCCATCAGGTTTTTCAATCTATGAAGAATTCTTCTTAGTTGATAATCTCCAGAGGTTCCAGAGGAGTTCCCAGAACAGAACAGGTCTTTATCAGTTTGTTAAGCTTTAAGTCATTTGCTCTGATGCTGTTACCCCAGACAATTATGGCAGAAGAGATCACATTTTCCCCAAGACTTTGAGAAGAAATGCAACATCTTGTTGGAAACACTGAAGACAGGTCATAGTTATGGGTCCAGCAATACTGATGCATCGGTGCATGCGTCGAACCCATAGAGCAAAACACTGTATCCGTGCGCGTCGTTTAAAGAAAGTCATGTGACCGATAGAGGAGTTGTTTCTAATTAACTGACACGCTTAACTGTGCTTAAAAAACGGATCTGTCAACATGATGCATCTGCTAAAAAAAAAAGTTACGGTTACGGTTTTTCATTAAAATGATCAAGAATTTTGGAGCAGCCTAAAGGGAATAGGGACGTTTCAGCCTGTCAGGGACCAAGCAGTAAGTCAAAGGGACGCAGGAGGTAATTAAAAAAATTTGGGATTTTTCACCACAAAAGAAGATGATCAAAATCCAAAACTATGCAAAAATCAGCTCACACATAAAAGAAGTCAACTGAAGACTTAACTTAGCAAGCAAAACAAACGTAATCAAGGAAAATGGACCTAACACAATGACACATGAGGGTAACATATATAGATAGGGGTTTGGCCAAACCAAAAAACAAAGACAGGGGAAAACAGATGGCTGACAATTTACTAAAGCAAATATTAAACTAACTCAACTACATTTTAAACTAATTTATTCATTTAAACTAATTAAATCCCCCCATAGTTCAGTGGTACATGGTAGGGTTTAAGGAGCCTCCTCAGCCCAAGCCTTTGCTTGATAGGAAAGATGCTCATCTCCCAGCATGGCAACTCAAAGGAAAGAACTGTTCAAAGAAAATACCTTCCATTGCTGATATGTGTGCACACCATAACAGCAGTGCAAGATAAACCAAATTACAAAATGAAAGAAATAAAAATTCTTTCATTTTTCCAACCCCCACACAGCTGGGTTTTTATTTTAATTTTCTCGTTGCGTCATCGTTTTCCTCTCAGTTATCACTCAACTTATCATTTAAAGTTTAATTAATTAAAATTAAATTAATTAAAGTTGATTTACTGTACTTAAAGTTGATATACTGTACTTATTGTTTTAAGGTGATTTAAAATCCTAGTCCTCAAGCATCCTCGCTCACATTTTCCTCCCGAATTTTTACTTTATTGGCTGCTTCTAAAAATATCAAAGATATTTTCGATTTAAACATAAATATGAAATAATACAACATAGTTAACAATTACTTAATTTTTTTTATAATTGTACTTGGTCATCAAATTCAGTTTAGGCTGTCAAATAAGCTGCCTGTAGTGTCTTTAAATGTCCAGCAGGTGTCAGTATTCCTAAAAACTTAAAGATGCCTCATTAACCCATCACTGATCTGAGATCAGTTTTGAGACTGAAGGATAAACTGATTATGTTGACTTTGATATAGACAATTGGTGATGCTTCAGCTGCCTTTTAGTTTCTGATAAAAAGCTGATCAGGCAGAATCTTGTAAATTACCTTTAAAAAATGTGCTTTTATTGCAGCATTTTATATTTTTTATGCTTTTTGCCATTGAATCTTGTAAAGATAATTTTTTTTCCCTCATCTGCTCTTGCAGAAGAGCAAATGGCTCAGAAACTATTTTATCAGGACTCTGTTTTTTGTTTGAAGTTTTATTTTTGCTCGTCTCTGTGACGTACAACCAAACCAAAAAGTTGATTTGTTGACCAGCAATCTCTGTTGCGTAGAAAAAAATAAAATAAGGCTTCCAGAGAACAAATGGATGCTTTTGAATGAGAAAAAGCAGAAAATTGAAATACTGCATGACAGTAACTCTTATTTAAATTCAACAGACAGTACAACAGAACAAAGATTCGATTAAACAAATAAATCATAACAGAGTTTTGCATTTGTGCTGAAAAAAAAAAAAAAAAAAGACAAAACCACAATAGGAAATTTACAACCCAACTACTGATATCCCCTTCACCGCTGCATGGATGCTTTTTTAAACAATATTTTACAATTTCTTAAAGCACTATTCTTTACCTTCAGCAGCTTTGCTGACAGGCTATCCTCATCTGACAATCATAGCTTAAAGGTGTTTAGGAGAAGCTAAACAGCAATCAGGACAGTCAGAAGCACAGACTAAGCAGCTTGCAAACCCACACTTATCTTTCACGCCGCCAGTTAGTCCATTAAATAGTATTATTTAATATTTCTGTATACAAAGAATGTAAGAAAACACGAGGTGAAGGCTGTCTTTTTCTCCAAGATGCTAACGTGTCATTAAGAACCATCTCAGAGGAAAGGGCTGAATTGGGGCGAGCAGCGGTACAAACGGATGGGAAACGGAAGGTCGGCTTCAGCGGAAGTTTAGTCAATGTCCATCTCGGGGAGCTTGTTTTCCTTTTCCGTGTTTGTGGGTTTTGTTTTATCCGGGTTTTCAGGCTGGATCTCTGGTTCAGCCTGTCCATTGACCGGTCCGTTCTCCGTCTTCTCCTCCTTAGGAGGCTCCACCTTGGGCTTGGGTTTAGTTACCACCGGGTTACAAGATGCGTAAAGCTCCTAAATGAAGAAAATATCAACGTGAGTCAGTTAAATTATGAGGCTAGCTCTGCATGGCAAATCAAAACACACTCAGATGTGTCCAAGTACCTTTGTTTTGGACTTAATTTCTCCGACTTTGACCACAGGATCCACAGTGAGGTCCTGACTGTTCTGCTGGTTCATCTTGGTGTTCATCCAGGCCATGGCCTCATTCACTTGCTTTTCCACCCGAGTCACATCCAGCTCATCAAGGTGCTCATACTGCTCATCCTGAAGGTACATTAAAGACACGTGTAAGAACTCTTTACACAAGTTTAATCAAATCTCCTGTTAATTAACACAAAGCCTTACCTTTGCCTTGTAGGCTTCAATGATCTTCATGTACATCTGTATCTGTCTGCCGAGCTCCTCAAAAGCTTTAGGTCTCTCCTCAGCTTCCATGTATCGATCATGAATAGGTTGTCCAATTTTCTACAGAAAAGAACATTGAAGCATGTCAAAAATAATTCCCCTCAATACGTGTTTTTCTGCAAGACACACATTAACTCAACCCAGGAGAAAAGCTCAAAACTGCTATTCAGGTAATATAATCCAATACTTTATTAATATGAAAATGATATCTAAACACTTTGTGGACTGGTCCAACTTGCAGCAGTACTACAGGATTAAATTTAGGTCAAATTTTATTTAATTAAATGCAAATATACAGCAAAGTTCAGATCCATTTATATACACAGTGCAACTCATTTATACAGAGCTGTTTATATTTTATAAACCATCATAAACAAACCAACTGAAAACAGTCATAAAACACTGCATCATCTACAGGGCTAATCAAGCTTGACGCACGGACATTCAGGCAGTCATAGCGCCGGCAGCATTTACACTGTGCTCAGCTTTGATATTGGTGATATTTATGAGCTAAATCACGGGATGTCTCTACATGTTTATATTTGCCGGCCCTCACCACTAAGAGCTGCTACTCGCCAACCATGTTTTCTGTCCACGTAGCTAAAAGTGTTCCGTGTGGAGGGGTATAGAAGCCAAAAACGATATCCTTGCGAAAGCTTCAAGCATAAATACAGCTTTAACCTGCTATTAGCTCCAATAAATGTTATCAAGACTTATTTTAATTTGATCTGCAGAGCCTCTGCCAATCATTACCCAGGTTACGCACTCCAACCTTAAGCCCCTGTCACACCTGGATGATTTGGACCAGCGTATGCCTGACGTATGAAAAAGCTGGCAAAAGCGCGGGCATAAGTTGGATAAGTTATGGGTACGTTTTATATAAGTTATTAGCAAGCTGAAGCACGCTGAAACGAGCTTGCACACTTTGACCTACGGCGAGTAAGTCGAGAAATTTTAGGCATGTGCAAAATTTCCATACGTGGGGCATAAGTTACAGGTAGGTTATCTGACACTTGCAAACCTACCGAAACAATGTAATTCTGATAACATCAGCAGTTTGTGGGCTTTCTTTAGATTCTGACCCCAGAATATGGATACTTGGAGATGTTATTTCCTTGAAATGAAATCCAAAAAATACTTTGTTTTGTTAGCGTCATCTGCAGCGAAGAAATTTATACTTTAAAACTGGAAATATATGGAGCCTCCAAACAAGAAACATTGGATCAACGAACTGTTGTCATACTGTACTCCTGAAAAACATTCTCCACTCGGTACATTGGCTAAAATAACCGGATATGGAGTTCCTTCTTGACCATTCTAACCAGATTAGACCTGAGAGACTTATCAATATTAATCTTTACTGTGTTTCAATTATTCCAATATTTTTGCTTTGCTCTTTTCTCTTAAGTCTGACCTTTCAAAAAGCAGACATTCATTAGCTGCATTATCTTCAATGCACAAACCATATTTGCAGCGTTGTCTGTAACAACTACAGGGTGTTTTCTGGTCAGCCCCCATTTGTTAACGTCTTCAGTCAAACTATTGGCTATATTTGCAGCTGTCTGGCTTGAAGTAATCTTGAGTGCATCTTTCCTGCTTATTTGAATGTGAACGTCACGCAGGTGACTATAAAATGAATCAATCTAATTTTTTAGACATCGATTTTGCAAAAATGTAAAGGAATCGATTCAAAATCAATTAAATTGATTTTTTTTACCCAGCCCTAATATATACATATATATCTGATAAGTAACTCAAGATAAGTAAGTCATTCAAGTCTTGGTGTCTAGCTTATCCAAAACATATGAGTAACTTGTGCATAATTTATGCGCAACTTATCAAGAACTTATCTCCAAAGCATATCAACGTATTTGACGTGTTACTACTTTGATTAACTACTGTTTCTAACTTACAGCTACTGTTACCTGCTGTGAAGGGGGTTCACGGACATTACACTGCCTTACGTTATGCATAAGATAGGCTGTTGTTGGACATAAAGTTCTGGATTTGATATTAATTATTATTATTTGATATTACTCTATGTATATACCCAAAATAAAATAAAAAAGACATTGAAATTTCAGCATATGTTCGTATTTTAAGGAGTTTCTGGGACGTCAGACATACGCTGGCTAAATTCAAGGTGTGACAGGGGCTTTACCCTGTCGTCAATCTATTCGTTTTTTTAAAGACTTACTTTCAGTTCAGCCAATTTGTCGATGTAAACTTGCTTCTGTTGATCCTCTCCGTCTTCATACAACCAGGTTTCTGTGTCCTCTAGTTTTAAAGAGAACATGTCCCGATCCTGAAGTTTGACAGAAAAAAAAAAACAACATTAAATCTTAACTTTTAATTAACACTAAAAAAAACAAGTATAACAAATCTAACGATGGTTCCTTTTTGTACATACAGCTTCATTAACAAACTTCTCCAGTGCTCCGTGCAGTTTGTCCCTCATTTCATACACATATTCTTCTACGTTGTTTTTTGCATCGTTTCTCTCCTTCTCAAGTTTGTCCTGCATGATCATCTTCCCCTACAGAAAACAGAGGGACATTCAGGTCAGCCGGAGGTTTCTTTGTTAAAATAACTAAAAAACAAACCAACATGTTGAACAGTGAGGCAAAGGGAAGCATCTCTTCAAATTAAACTAATGTAAGTATTTGGTATCAAGTGAACCATGGATTTTTAATCTCCAACTAAATTAAAAAATATAAATTGCTACCAGTGAGTCTCCACATTCCTATTGGTTGTCAGAACATTACCTCATTCTCCACAAATGTATTGAGTTCTTCAGCAGGCAGCTGCCACTGCAGTTTGCCCTCTATAGGCAGATCCACAGTCTTCGTTTTTACTTTGGCCTTCTTGGCTTGCGGAGGCTGGTCATTCTTCTTCTCCTCTTTGGCATCCTCTGGAGATGTCTGAGGTGGGGAAATAATTCAGTACAAATTATAGTTTAAAAATCTAACCCCAATGATAAATATGAATTGCAAATAAAAAAGGACCAATAAGCTAACCACGCTGAAAGCCAACTGAGGAATCTCATCTTTTTTAAATCTATGTCGCGATTTAAACCTTGTTTTACCAACTATAGCACAAAGTTCAACATTTACTTCAAACAATGTTGAAGCTTTAACTGATTTAATTCAAAGCCCTCTACTTTAAAGTCACTGGAGTAAACTGCTTAGCAAAATAAAATAAAAACCACTTAAGAAAACACAAACCACACATTTTTCCTCCTTTCTCAACGTAAACAATCTCTGTGCAAAACATCTGGAGTTGTATTTCATAAGGAAAGAGTTAAAAGTGCAAATGGAAAAGGTGTCAGTCTCTGGTGGAAAATGAACCTGTTCCTTGGTTCAGGGACAGGGCTACATTACATGTGTGAAGAAACTTTAAATTTGCTTTAAGCAAAGAGAGGGAAACATGTTTTAATGTTCTGGGTCCTAGAAGGTTGGTCAGCCTCGTCCTCTACTGGGTACCTAGTGCTGGGCGATATGGATGAAAACTTAAAGGCTTCTTAAAGGAAGCAATATTCCAACCCAGTACTCCAAAGTTTACTAATCACCACTATATCATCTACATTGATGAGACTGTGTCCTACAGGCTTAACACCAAAACCGCTTTGAGAGCTGCAGCTTCTTCTCTACACTAACCTTCTAAAAGTTGCTTTGACCAAACGCCTGCAGCTGCAGTCGGCAACAGACTCATGCTTTTTTTATGCAGGAAGTATTTCAGTGTGGAGCTGAAGCACAGGGCTAACCGCTGACATGTTTTCCGTAATGACCTGGTAAATTGTTCACGTTTTATCACCTGCTTCATAAACTTTTTTTTCCCACTTTACGTTTTACGTCGTCAAAAAGCATTGGATTGCCGTCACATCAACAAAATAATATGTGCAACCTGTAAGGAAATTTGATTTAGATCCAGGCTAAAACTCACTGACCTATAAATCCCAGGCCAAGAGTTGTTTAAATAGAGGTGACAACGCTGATGACTGACTGGATCAAACGGATCAACAGCTTTGTAGCTCATTTGTTTTTATTTACGTAAAGTTCGGGTGTTCTGATTAGGTGACTGATTTCACATTCTTTGAGAAACTACGTGCGCTTTTTAGTTTATTCTATATTCTAGATTTTGTACAACACATTTGATGAGCTGACAGATTTTTTTTCTCTTTTGATAAAATAATTTAAAGAAAAGTATTCACCCATGATTAACTTTATTGGTTTCCTCCTCTTTTACAGATTGCATGCATTACAAAGGAAACCTGCAGGTGTTTTTAGACAGCCATTTAAAGACATCGCAGATGGCCCATTTTATATTGTCTTGATACATGATGGAGCAGCATGGGGAGATAAATGCTGTCCTATCGCCCAGCACAAGGTTACCTCCATTTCTTCCGCCTCAGTTTTCTTGTCATCGTTGCCTCCAGCCTGGGGTTTCTGATCTTCCTGGTCCACTTGCATTTTGTTCTATTGCGAGAAAGCATATATAGACATTTGATTAAGACGACACCTGAGAGATGGTTTTATCAAAACGTTGACAAATGTTTTTTTTTTTATTGGCAGAAGTTTTATTTACCCCCCATTTTTGGATAAAACAATTAGTAACAATTTGTATTATGCAGAAAATATTTATGTTATATGTTGATAATCAAAATCCACGCCTTTTTATTCTAGAAAGTGGCTTTTAAAGGCGTTAACACAAAGGGGAATAAAAGATTCAGGGAAAACTGTAAGAAAACATGTTAAACTAGAAGAACAGGAAACCTGTTTACCAACATAATGGTGTCCAGTTCTTGTCCAAACACGACAAAGCAGACACCTCCTTTCCCCACTAATTTCTCTATATCCAACCACCCTGTTTTCCTTTTTTTTTTTTTCTTCAGTCCAACTGCTTTTAATGTTCTTTCTTGTTTCTGCATTTTTTTTCTTCTACTTGCTCTGATTCTGTTATATTTTCCTATATTTTAATCATATAAAGCACTTTGCATTGTCTCTGTACTGAATTGTGCTATACAAATAAATTTGCCTTGTGCCCAGACGAACACGTACCTCCTCCTCCTTTGCTACTTGGTCCGTCTCCATTGGTTCTTCTCCTTCTGTCTCTTTTATGGTTTCTACCAGAGATGCACTAGAGACACTGAACACACCGTGAACGTTGACACGAACTTTTACTTTGACCTTGGCGCTCTCGCCCGATGCCTGAGGAACCACATTCTGGATCAGAAACTGGCCTGCAAAGCAGAGTAAAGTTGTAAATAAGAAAAAAAAAATAGATGGTGTAAATGCATCTGTTAGAAGTGAAACCTGTCTTACCTATAGTGGCTTTAGGGTAGTTTAGCTCCTTTGGGTTATTGTAATAGGCCTCCAAAGTGAAGGGCTCTTTACGGTAAAAAGTCAGGACTTTGGAGAAAGGAGCAGCGTGGTTCTTTGGGAAAACCTCACAGTCACTATAAAAAAAAGACAGATATACACATTCATTTAGCCGTTAGGCTTTGAAAGAAAAGTCTTTAAGATGTGACATTAAGACATTGAGGGTTATTAAGCCTCTGAGATGAATACAAACACAGCTGCTACGTTAAATGATAATTAGCTCTTTAATGCCTTTAATTGTTAATTAGTTCATCTTTTAAAAGTGAAATCTAAATATCAAAACAGGAAAGGTTTAATGTGGTGGAGCTATACTGCTGAAAATGGCCATTCCATCAGAAGAAACTTCATTAAGATCAATGCCTGAAGGAAAGAACCTCATGAAAGGTTAGTAATATAATTGCGCATGAGAAACAAAGATGTACTCTCTGTTCTCCAGAATGAAAAGAAGATTGAAGTTTTTTGGGGTTTTTTTTTAGGGTACCTGTGGGGTGGATGCATTCATACCTTAGTCCCTCCTCTGCAGCGGAATTCCACTTAAGGGAGATTGAGTACGGGACAACATCTGTGATGGAGAACTCTCTCACTTTGAAAGCCGGTGACAAAATGGCACACTGAGGGAAAAAAACAAAACAATGGTTGATTAAGTACGTTTAAGTACACAGGATACTTGATAAGATCTTCAGTCTCAGTAGAATTAAATAAAAAAAATATTATTCAACTTTATCTTCACCAAATTAAATGATACATATGTTGTGTTTGAAGCCAACTAGCCATACCTGCAGAGCACAGCCCCTGGCCACGGCCTCGTCTGCATTTAGGGTGGTGCTTAGCTCTTTCCCGAAGAATTTGCCGATCCGCTCTTTGATGGCTGGGATTCTGGTGGCTCCGCCCACAATCTCCACAGCGTAAATATCTTCCTTTTTCAGCTCTGTTAGCAGAGAGGCAGGATACAAAAGATCAATCGCTCCATATTTGTTAGGTTCATAATGAGGTGTGACTGAAACAGCTGCAATGTTTTCAGATTTGAGTAAAGTGTTAATGATTCAAGTCAGAAGAAGCAAGAGCTGAAACAAAGAATGAATAAAATGCAAAGACAAAAAAAAATCACTTCACATATGGCTTAGACCGACTATATGCGTTTACTCCTGGCTGAGGGGGTAGACTAGTGGTTATTAAAGTCGTTTATACTTACTAGTCTGTTCCATGACGCTGCGCAGGGGACCCTCAACCTTGGCCAGCAGCCCAGCACACATCTCTTCAAACTGACCTCTGGGAACATGATCAGAAATTATTAATAGCTACAGCTTAGCAACGCAAACAAAAGCACTGCCAGAAAAATTCACAAATCCGTCTAAAAGACACACGTCCTGACACACTGATGAGAGTTCTTCCAGTCTCGGAAAGTATTTACAGCTCTTAAACTAGATAAAAGTTTGTTTGTTGTTGAGTTAGAGCTGCAGGGTCCACTTAGCCTGATAAACCAGACTAAATGTGTAATTTAATTTGGCCCAGATGAATGAGACATCAGAAGATTTTTGATGAGAACAACCCGTTGTTTTTCAAACCATGTCTGTGCCTATTGGCAAACGCTCTGACATAGCTACATGAACCATATTTAGGTTTGTTGTTGAAAGTCTTGTCAGATCAATGGTCTGAATCTCACCTGTTCAGTTTACTGGCTACATCAGTGTCGTTCATAAAGCATTCAATGTTGAGGGGTAGGTCGGAGGAGTTGGCACTCATCAGCTTCTTCAGCTTCTCACATTCCTGATAAAGGCGCACTAAAGCTCGAGGCTTGGACCTGACGTCCAGTTTGTACTTCTTTGCAAACTCTTCACAGAAGTGGTTGACCAGGATGTCGTCAAAGTCCTTCCCACCGAGGTCTGAATCAAAAGCTGTAGCCAGAATCTTACAGGAAGAACAGAAGTCATAAATAAACAACAATTCATAAAAAGCATAATACCCCAACCATATCATATTTATTTATGTATTATCAAAGTGCAAAGTGACTGGGTTATTCTTTTATCAAAGTCTGGGAAGTCAAACTACTGACATAAACACCTATTGAAAACATACCGTACCTTGAGTTTTCCTTTGTTAAAAGCACAGACGGACACCTGGTACCCAGAGTGGCCTAAATCCACAAACACCACTATCCTTGGCTTCTCCTCTGGAGCTGGAAGATCCTGCTTATAGATTCCATAAGCCAGAGACACTGGAACACAACAGGAAACAAAGCAATCATTTGTTGTTTGCTCCACTGCTTTCAGCGGTTATAGTCTGTCACACAACTAAAATCACTCTGCAATCTAAAATCTCAATCTCAAAAAATCTCAAGAAAGGCTATGCGAATAAACCAAAGGAGCTTCACTAAGATCCTTCATTGTTCCTTTTTCTACAGCAACAGCCTCATCTTGGTGACAACTTAAAGTAACACATAAACACATTCATTACAATGTTCTTCATAGGATTTCTCTTTCCTTAATATGTAGTATTTTACACTTCGTCTTTTACACTTTCCAATAAAAGTTACTACTAAAGTGTTAACAGCGCTCTTTGAAATATAGATTTGTGTCCAAATAAGACTACCTGTATAAAAAATGGTTAAAATATACATATAAAAAAAGAACAATAAAGAAATCTAAAAAAAAAAAAATCTCATTATCAACTGTTAAAAACATTATTTCATGGCTGAGCCTACATAGCTGAAACGTGATGTCAAAGGAGTCCAGACGCCATGCCTACCTGCAGTGGTCTCATTCATTAACCGCAGACAGTTGAGACCAGCGATCTGAGCAGCATCCATGACTGACCTCCTTTCTGCATCAGTGAAATAACTTGGTACCTGTGATGAGGAACATGGAACATTAAGTGTAAAAAATATAGAAAAATCTGGATCAACATAAATGGTTTGTTTTTTTTTTTTGTTCATTGCAGAAAACACAATGAATGCCAAGAACAGCTCAGTGATTTTGATGCTGGGATCACCAATGGTACCGACTGCATCTCGAAAAAGCCGTCTGGATATCATCACCTATTTAAAAGTTGGGATGTCAAAACAAAGCATCCCAATGTGGAAAAGTTCAAGAGCTAACTATAGAAACAGGCTGCAGCACTAGCAACATGCTCTCCATCACTGATGTCACTGATAAATTTAGCCCAAGTAAAAGCAGCAGCCACTTTGTTCTAGATCTATAGCATTACATAACAGGTGCTATTTGTGAGCTCTCACGCCGGGCCCGACACACACGTCCCACTCTTCAACGACGTTCAAGTGTGAGCAGAAGTGCTGCTTTCCCACCAAGACATCTGGTGAAGAGGCTAAAGCTTAAAATGTTCTATGAACAGTTTGCCACAATATTTATGCACTGGACCAGTTTTGGCCTTTATTTATACACACAACAATAAATGAAAATAGAGGTGTCAATAGTCATAACACTGGATTTAATTGGCAATAAAAACAAAAACTCAACCTGTTGATCAAAGAAAAGGGAAACAGCGGAAGTTTTAGAGATTTTCAGACAACAGTCAGTCATGGATATCAGTGTTTACCGAGATAACACAGTCAACAACCGGCTTCTTCAGTGCACTTTCAGCTGTCTCTTTCAGTTTGGTCAGTAGCATGCCGGTTATCTGCTCCACGCTGAATACTCTCTCTTCCTCCATGTACATCACCTGTAATAAGAAAAACCCTCTAAATAAAGGCGCTCAAAGATAGACTGCATAATTTGAATTAAAGGTGTACTTTAAGGTAACAAACAATCGGGAAATGCATCATTTCCTGATACCGTTTTTCTGCTGGGATATTTGGTATCATCATTCAAAACATCATGCCATCCAAGGTTACAATCTAAAACTCGTCACACCTCCTTAAAGCTAATATCTCAAAACACTTGCATGTTTTATCCAACATGTTCTGGTAATTTTGCTGATATCTAAAAAATAAAACCTAAATTTGACATTATGACCGACATAAAAAAAAAGACAACAACATCAGTTGACCTGTAACCCTGGCAGATGACCTCACCTTTATCCCAGTGGTACCTGAGGGCATCTGTGCCAGGTCGTACACCAAGTTTGACTTGGCCGTCTGAACAATCGGGTCTGAGAACGCTCTGCCATGGAAGCGCTTGAAGCCTTGCACTGTGTTCTTACAGTTGGTCACCACCTAGAAAAGAAAAAAAAAATAAAAGATTTATATAATATTTACTTTTAAGACTTTCTGATTTTTGATGAGCCATTAAGAAGAATGAGTAGAATCTAAAAATATGGCAGAATTGATTTTTACCTGGCTCTTAGCAGCCGCTCCAACCGATCGATTTCTTGGACCAAATGACACAAATGACCTGAGGAAAAACAACAAAAAATAGGACGAACATAAATATTTTTATTCCAATTAAGCTGCCTATCAATATATATGATTTATAAGTAAAAACTTTATTTCCAGAAGTTACTAAATAGTATCAGTAAATACGTACAAGTCGAGGTTCAACACATACAAAATAAAGATAATTTAGACAGCCAAGAAAAAATTTAAGTTTAGTTTAATCTAACATGATTACTTTGATTCTTTTTAGGGCACTTTTTCCCCACATCTTGCACTGGGGAGCAAAAGTGGCAGGAAGAGATCAAATTGGTTGCAAACCAGTTTTATGATAAACATGCTTATGTTCACAATATCTAGTCAAGAAGACAAAACATTTGATTTGGGCGACACAGTTTACTTAGGTTTGTAAATTGTTAACAATTTCTATCATAACTACTAATCCTATTGTTTAAAATCACTTTCTGACTGGAACTGCTTCTGCACACTGCCAGTCAGCTGGATGAAAGCAGGTGGCTACACAATAATTACCAATTACGACTTATATGGTCCCTTTTAGCGTTTTGGTTTAGAAAACTAAAGGAATATCCCTCCATGCTTTTATAGATACTTTTTAAAAATATTAAACTGTATTTGTGAAACCCAGCTATCTGAATAGACAGCCTGACAAATTAATCAATTAAATTTGGCTTTTTATAACCAAAAAAACAAAAGTAGTATTAACAATGATTTGTTTCTGTTTTGCTGACTTAAATAAATATTTCATTATCAATCATAGTTTAAACATAGTTTTAACTCACGGAGTTAAAATAATACACTGGATCAGGTCTTCTGGTCACGTTATATACACCTTAAAATTACATAATTAAAACATTTAGAAACGATTGGCTTCAATTTAATTATCTGTTTTCTTGATATGCTTTACATCTTTTAAGATACCTTATGGCCGTTTATCTTATAATATTTTGGCAGTATATATATATATATATATATATATATATATATATGCAAATTTACAAAAAAGGTTAAAAAATCCATAATATCTTAAAACAATTAAAAGAAATTTAAACCTGAAAGAAAGTACAACTACAAGAGCATTTAAGAGAAATGTTCTCAGCTGTGACAGTCAGAAAATTTAACTCACAGACAAAAGATTTAAGAAAATATTTCAGGAATAACAGAAATCATTACATCCTTTTCAATTTAATATTACATTTTTTTTTTTTGTGCGGGGAGTGATTTTTGCTAGAATATTCTAGCTAACTCTCGACTGCTGTCGTCATCGAACGAAACCTTTAACACAAGTCGCACGTTTTATCACACAGGAAACATCGGGCTGGTCGGAGCTTAGGCTTTACGTGAATGAAAGAAGTAGAACGAGAAAAGCACCGCCTGCGCGGGGTTCTCTGGTGACTAAAACACGTGTTCAATCAGCCCGTACCGTTAATGAAAAAACTTGACTGTTTAGCTCACTAGCTTACGCTGTATAGCTGCATTGATACATGGTTTCAACATTTTAACATTGAATACAATCTCTATAATTTCATAAATGTTTTAAACGAACTTGAGCATATTTCTTAACGTAAACAATTACAAACGGAGGTTCAATTACTATGGTAGTAACTTACAAGCTTGTCTATTAAAGTTGAGCAAAAAGGTTTAAGAATCCGATTATAGTGTAAAGACAAGGCACAATAAAGCACAATGCGCTTCAATAATGTAACCATTTTGGATTTCAATGAATAAAAAGTGTAACTTGAATACTTACGGTGTACATCTGTCGCTGTATTCATTAGCCACCGTCTCGATTCCTCCAGCTCTGGCTACGGCTACATAGCAACTCTGAAAGCCCAAGTCAAATCCTACCACTGACATCTTTAACAACACGCCACTCTGTGTGCTGTAAAATAGAACTGATGCTCGTTTTTCCCTGAAAGAATAATAAATCCAGATGAACTTGTTGTGCCTCTCTGTTAAAATTAGCTATCTTTGTTCATGATTCACACCGCTGTACCGGTGTCTCTGATCTGCACGAGCAACCCTTAGCAGCAAGGTGGTTTAACAGACTTCTCGCGCTTCTGCCGGCGATTCTCGCGATATTTCCATCGTTCTAGACATCTCTGGACTTTTCTACAACCATGTGAACGATGTTTCTCCAACTCTCGAGATTTTTGGAGATAGTTCCCTTGGCTCCTGCGAGGTTTTTGCCCAATGTCTTGATGTAGTAGAATAATATGTCTTAAAATACAACAACGGATATGACAAAAAATACTAAATGGCAATTTAATCTAGTAGTTTAGAGGCAAAAAATATAACTACAAATGTTCACTATTTGATAAATAAAAGTTTTGTTTTAGTAACCAGACTACAGCTGAACAGTGGAAACTATAATTAAAAAATATGTTGAACTACATTTTTAGTTTTTATCTTTGACTCCACAGACATTACCTTATTCCATTAGTAACGCCAGGGGGCGCTAAGACATGTAATAGCTATAATAATTTAATATTTTTACGTAGTATACCTACTGTTCTTCTTATGTTAGTTAAAAAGAGTATATCTCATTTTTCTGTTCCAAGACTCCATAAGCTTCAAATTGAGTATTTAGACATTAGAGACAATAAATGCACTAATAGGTTCTTGAATCAATATTCTATGCATAATATTTACCCTGGTCGAACAAAACTTACATTTCTCTTACAATATTTTAACAAATCTATGATAACCAAAATTAGGACACATTATTTGAAATTCCAAATTCCTCCTAAAATAAAGATTACAATTTAAAAATAATAAATTATATATATCCTTCAAATCAGTACTTAAGAGAGAGATTTAAATTCAATGTTGGGAATTGTGGTTTCTGTACAACTCAGTTGGAAACTACTAATCATTTGTTTTATGAATGTAAAGAAGTAAGAAACCTATGGGAT